GTCACCGGGCAGCACTGCCCGTGACACACAGTCCCCCGGGGCGGCCGTGACCTCGTGCCACAGGCCAGGGCCAGAGCCAGGTGTGGACGAGGGAGGATCTGGTCCAGGCGCCTCCCCCCACTGCTGGCCACCTGTGGGGCTCCTGGGCCGGTCAGTAGAGCCATCACCCCGATCTCTGCCTTCACCTTCAGCCGCCTTTCTCCCTGTGTCTGCTGCATGCAGAAGACAGGGCCCCGTGGCCTGGGCGTCCCCAGCCCCGATCCAGGCTGCCCCAGCCTGGGCGTTCCTAAACTCAAATAAGCTTCAGAGCTTAGAAAGACACGCTTTCACCCCAACGTACCGTTTTCAGTCCACCCGAGCCACCACTTCTCCATTTCTGCCCATTTCCCTATTTTGCAAGCGCCAGAGAAAGCTGGATACGCCTCCCAAACCAATGGCATGGGGCGCTCACTCCCGGCTGGCCACTTCCGCCCCCCACCCCCCAAGGCTGACAGCCTCTGATCAGGACACACCTGAAGCTTCCCCGTTGTCAGCTTTAGGAGATATAACTCACACACCGTAAAAGTCACTCATTGAAAAGGTACAGTTCAGGGGCGTCTGGTGGGCTCCGGCCCCCCCCCCTCAGTCCCAGATGAGCGCGAATCCTTCTGCCCGCGGATCTGCCCCTTCTGGACATGTGTCATGAATGGAATCAAACAGTGAGCGGCCCCCGCGGTGTCTGGCCCCATACTCTCTCCCGCCACAAAGTCCTCAGGGTTTCTCTGGGTTCAGCCGTGTACATTTCATTTCGTTTTGTGGCCAGTGACACTGGGGTTGTGTATGGACCAGAGTTCGCCGGGCCACACTCGTCTGCCCAGGGGCGGAGCCGCATCCCCCTCAGCCATCACGTGCACACTTTTGTGAGCACCCAACTCTCCGTTTCTCATGAAGCGCCCCGATGGGGAAGCGCCGGGTCCCACGGGTACTCTATGTTTAGCATCAGGAGGAACTGCCAGTCTGCGTTCCGTGGCCGGCGTCCCGTGGCTGGCGTTTGGAGGCTGCTGCACCACTTGCATCTCCAGCAGCTGCGAGTGTCACACCCTTGTAAACACTTGTCACTGTCTGTCTTTCCCACCCTGGGGGCAGAGGCTATGCCTCATCCTGCTTCTGATCAGCTTCCCTGACTACGTGTGTGACCTCCCCCCGCACTGTGTGCTTTGAAAAAATGCACACATTCAGGTCCCTCGTCCGTTTTTTATGGGGGGTTATTTGGGGCGTAGTTAAAAGTTCTTTGCGTGGACTGGACACTTATCTCTCATCACATCTATGATTTACAAATATTTTTTCCCATGTCGTGGGCTGTCTATCCTTGCCAATATCCTTTGACCCGCCCAAGCTTTAAATTTTGGCCAGGTCATGGGGTGCCTGGGTGGCTCACTTGGTGAAGCGGCCGACTTCGGCTCAGGTCATGATCTCAGTCTGTGGGCTCAAGCCCCACGTCGGGCTCTGTGCTAACAGCTCGGAGCCTGGAGCTGCTTCTGATTCTGTGTCTTCCTCTCTCTCTGCCCCTCCTCTGCTCACGCTCTGTCTCGCTCTCAAAAATAAACATCAAATTTTTTTTTTTAAATTGGGGAGTTCGGGTATTTCAACAGCATCAAGTCTGGGAACACTGGGTATCTTTCCACTCAGTGCGACGGGCTTTATTTCCTCTTGACGATGTTTTGTAACGTTGCACGTGTGAGTGTTACACGGCCTTTACTGAATTCATTCTTGGGTATTTTGTTCCGTTTGCCGTTAAGCCTCCGTGACTCCATTTCCATACTGGCCATCACTGGTGCATGTGGTCAACACACTGGTCGCTTTTCCCGATGCTAAACTCTTTCTTTCTTCCTTTCTTTTGATTGTAAAGCTGTTCCCCTCTGGGCCTGTCTCTGCCAAGTGCAGGGATGGTCACCAACTCCCTCGCGGGGCACACGCTGTGTGGACAGCCTGTGGGCTTCATCTGGGCGGCCTTCCTTCATTGCCACAGGAAATCAAGGCACAGGAGGGGGGTTCAGAGACTCCCCCAGCAGGAAGTGTGCTCCACGGAGCCATGACTCTGGCCCTTGGAGTTGTGCCCTGCGAGAAGCCTCTAGTCCAACAGCCTGAAGGAGGAAGCTACCTCCTGCCTCCCCCGGGGCCAGGCCCTGCGCCGCCTGCCTGGGCGCGGGCGTGACCTCGCATTCACTCACCCAAGAACACCTGCAGCAACACCGCCACAGATGGGGAAACTGAGGAAGCTCAGAGCCACACCCGGGGGGCGGGGAGGCAAAGGCTGGCTCTTCCCATCAGGCTGCGCAGCACATGGCCTCCCTCTCACCCCAGCAGCCTCACCTGCCCTCAGGGCAGCCAGCCCCTCTCAGGGCACGAGCCGGACCCTGTTCTCTAGCCCCTTGGGATGCTGATCCGTGCAGCCTGGAGCCAGAAGGAAGCCGTTCTTGGGACACGACCCCCCACCCCCGCCGGGCACCCACCTGCCCCCATCACACCAGCATGTTTGTGTCACTGCCGCCCGTGACGTCAATGTTGTGTGTCAGGGCGACTGGCTGCAGGGTGGCCAGACTGCACATCATTTCTGGGGGCGAATCGGTGGAGTCGGCCAACAGACAGCCGTCCCCAGCACAGGGTGTGGGGGGCCCCCTGAGGCCTGGGCAGACCTGAAGGCGGGGGAAGGAGGAATCTGCCCCTTTCCCTGCCTCCCCCCTTGAGCTGGGACATCTCACCTCGTCTCCTCTGGTCCTCAGGCTGGGACCTTCGCTGCTGGCATCCTGGTTCTCAGGCCTTCAGGCTCAGACTGACCCACAGCACCAGCCTTCCTGGCCCCCCGTCTGTGGATCCCATGGGGCCCCCCGGGCCTCCCGCCCACCTGAGCCAGTCTGTAACACAAATCTCCCACCACCGTGTCTCTGGAAGGCCCCCATACACTGCTGGGGGGTCCCTGCCGTCCCCACAAGGTCAAGTTGGTGGGCCACTGGGCAGCACACTTCAGAAGTGGCCCTGGGGGACAGCCCGCCTGTGCCGGGCACCGAGAGGGGGCCCCAAAACCCTCACAGCCCATTTTCCCGGTGAGCCCCAGGTGCCTGTGGTGCCGGTCCCTGAGCCGGCCGACACCCGTGTCCCCGTCCAACACGGAGCCGGGCGCGTGCAGAGACCTGCAGTCACTCCTAGGCAGTCAGGATCTAGCGCAGCTCCGTTCCCGGCTTCAGACCCGAGTGCCGGCCCCCGGTCCCCCACCTGCCCCCCACCTCTGGATCTAGCCCTCTTCCCGCTTTGTGCTCCCACCCCCTGGCTTCCTTTCTCTCCGCCCAACCTTGTCCCCCTTTGCCTGGAACGCGCCTCCCTCTCCGTCTGCAGGGTCTGCGAGGCCGGGGTCCACTGTGGACCCCTCCAGGCCCCCGGGGCCAGGAAAGCGCCTCACCGTTACTGTCTTTAAATTATGCTGGGAATTCGCTCCCTTCCTGGCATTGACACGATCATTGTGGGTGGCATCTGTCACCTTCACCGGTTTCCAAGGCCCTTGAGGGAAGGGGTCCCCGCTGCCCAGTCCCCAGAGCCAGCATCTGGAAGAGCACCCGTCACACAGGCGGGGCCCCTAAATAGCCGAAGCCTCTGCCTGGGCACAGAGCTGGTGGCCGGACGACCTGTCTTGGGGGCCGGTGGGCCAAGGGCACAGTGTGTGAGGTTCTGCCCCCCACCCACCTCATGGTCCCCTCTGCTCCCCTTCCCAGGGGGCCCAGGGGAGGCGTTTCTCAGGACTCAGCCCACAGCGGTGGCAGGGAATGTCCCCATCAGTGTGGGCGGCAGGCAGCGGAGGGGAGAGCAGGGTGCGCTCGGCATCCCGGAGACCTGCTCTGCCTCCTTTCCAGCAAAAGGAATCCCGGCGGACCCCCCGGTAAGGACTCGAGCTCCTCCTGTTACAGGGTCACCTGGACGTGCACACACCCAAGCCTGGGTACGAACATGCGCTTGGAGCTCTCGTCCACGCATGAGGCCACAGCAGATTTTTTAATCGGCCACCAAGGAAACTGCACAAGAGGGAGCACGGAGGAGTAAGCTGCGTCTACACAAAGCCACGGAGGGGAAGTGCAGTGAAAAATGCGGTTCCGTGGCCGTGGCACTGGCCATGTTTCAAGTAGTCAGTAGTGATTTGTGCTAGCGTTACGTGCATAGAGAACGTGTCCGCGTGTCACCTGGCCACGGCTTTGCTCTGTCCCCTGGGGAGAAAGTCCCTTTCCACCCTCGTCAGCCCAGCAGATGAAGGCAGCAGAGCCCGGCCGCCACGCCTTGGGCAGTGGGGCTGGCACCACCGGGGTGTGCACAGGACACACTGTATTTGGGGGCTCCCTTCCTGGTGGCTTGGGTCCCCTTGTCATTTAACACGGGTCCAGAGTCACCCTCTCAGTGACCTCTCCAAACACAGACACCTCTCACAGCACTCAACAACTCCCTCCTACCATGAGACAAGGGCTTGGCTGCCTGGAATCCTGTTCCAAGCTCTTCCGGCCCCGCCGGCTGACGCTCATCACCCACCCAGAGTGCCGACCCCTGGAGCTCTCTTGGTATCGCCATCTCTGGTGCATCACTTCCTCCAGGGAGCCTCCTAGGATTGTCCAAAGCGCCTGAGGGAGGACGAAAGACGAGGAGGTTCTTCCCAGGGTGCCGCTGGCCACAAGCCCCGGCTTCCTGCGCCGGCCAGTCCTGGGCTCAGGCGCGCGGGTCGGCCGCAAGCCGGTCTGACCCCGGGCCCAGCGCCCGCTCCAGGGGGAAGGGGCCGCGCGCTCGGGCGGCGGGGGGCGGGGCCGGGGGGCGGGGCCTGGGCGCCCTATAACAGGCGGCGCTGGGCGCGCGCCCGACCACAGAGCGAGCGCGCAGCGGCGGCAGTCACCCCGGTTGCCCCGGCCTGGCCTCCCGCGCCCCGCGCCCCGCGTCCCCGCGCCCCCCGCGTCCCGCGCCCCGGCCCCGGGCCCACGCCCCGGCCCCACCGCCCGTCAGGCCCCGCGCCCCGCGCCCAGGACCGGTCCGCAGCCCGCAGGCCGCACGCCGCCCGCGCCGCGATGGGGGTGGAGGGCTGCACCAAGTGCATCAAGTACCTGCTCTTCGTTTTCAATTTCGTCTTCTGGGTAAGCCCCGGCCGGGGGTGGGGCGGGGGGGAGACTGGGGGCGACCCGAGCCCGGCAGGCCGCGCGCCGCGCTAGGCCCCGCAGAGGGGGCGCAGCCAGGCCGCCAAGTTGCGGGGCCACCTGTGGGCGCCGGGCGCGGGTAGGGGTCCTGGGCCGGCAGGCGGGGAGGTGAGGGTCGTCCGGGCGACAGCAACGCGGGGGGCTGCGAGCCGGGTCTCGGGGCTTGTGCGCGGCCGGGCCCAGGGCCCCCGCGGCCGGCCCGGGGCGTTTGGGGGCCTCGGGTCTGTGCCCGCTGGGTGATGGCGGTCGGTGCGGTGGGTGCGGGCTCCGAGCCGCCGGCCACGGAGTCAGGGACCACCCTGCTTCGCGGGGACCGAGGGGGCTCGGGGGCGGGGCGCCCCGCGCCCCGCCCCCATGAGCTCATCGGGGCCACCGCCCCTGAATGGGCGGTCGGGTGGGGGGGCGCGCACTCGGTCCGAGTGTCGGGAACCGTCCACTCCACTCCTGGCCCAGGCCGCTCACACCCCGGCGGCCGCCGCCGCCGCCCCCGGGTCCGCCGGGAGGGTCCGGGCCGCCGCGGGGCTCACAAAGGAAGCGCATCAGCACAGTGCGGCCCGCGTGCTGGGTGCCCGCACCGCGGTGGCCGCGCTCCGTGGGGCTGACCCCGCTGTACCCCTCACCCGGACCCCGCCTGCAGCCCGGCCTCGCCCGGGAGGCTGTGGAAGCTTTGAGGGGAGCGGAGCTGCGGCGGCCTTCGAGTTGGCGCAGGGCAGGGGCCCTGAGGACCTGAGCCTCTCTGGGTCTGGGTGGATGTGAGGTCTGGGCTTCGGTCTGGGCTCCGACACCCACCTTGGAAAGAGGTGTCCACAGGATGGTCGCCTCTGGGTGCAGGAGGGTCTCAGGGGCTCCGGGCTGCTGACTTGTGAGTTGTGTTTTCCTGACCTGGGTGGTAACTGCCTGTCTAACTGGTCGTGCTGTGGCATTGTTTTCCCTTCCTGTCTGTGTTGGAGTCGGGGAGGGGCCCGAACGGGTGCAGGAACCCCTCTCAGGCCCTGCTCTGCCTCCCCTGGGCAGCGACTGGTACCCTCCTGGGCCCCTCCACCCTGCTGTGCCGCCGCCGGCCGCTCACCCCTTCCCAGGAGGGGCCGTGACAACATCTGGTGGACAGCGTGTTTCTCAAGTAGATGCTGGAGGGTAAACTTTTAAAATGGCCCCTGAGCAAGTGCGTGGGACCGGGGACATCTGTTTCCCATCTGGACGGTTGAGGATCCTGGGGGGAATCTCAGGCCAGTGAGGTATCTGGGGTGCGGAGGACAGAGACTGGACTGAGCTCTGGCTGGGGGTAGAGTGGGGGCGGTCATAGCCTACCTGGGTGGGGAGGCACAGGCGGGGGGGCCGCTGAGGCCATTGGCCTCTGCCCGGGGAGTGGGGGGCAGCGGGGCCGTCAGGGCAGGCCAGGCATGGCCGGAGCACCCCTGGGGCCTTTACTGAAGAAGTGGTGTCAGTGTCAACTTAGCCTTTGCCGCCTGTGGCCTGGGCATGTAGGGGGCCGGGGGTCCAGCCAGGCGCCCGTCTGCAGCCCTGGGGCCCATCCCCTGAAGCAGAGCCTGGATGTGGGGTGGGGACCTTGACCAGGAAGGGGAGGGTAGGTGGACGTAGAGAATGTCTCCTGGAGTAGATTCTCGCCCTCGGGCTGAGTGTCAGAGCTGGGTAAGTCCTCCCCCTCCCCCCGCCCAGCCTGGTAGTTCCCCAGGCAGCTGGGGTGGAGGCCCGACACATCCCCAGGGGCTGCTCTGTACGGAGGCCTAAGGAGATGTTCCCGAGGCCCCTCCCCCTCACCAGCCACCCGGCTGAGCACAGAAGTGTGTTCCACGGTCCCCTTGGCCCCATCCACCCCTGCGGTGGGGGCCTGCAGAGCTGAGCAGGGGGGGACTGGAGGCACGCTCTGGCAGAGCCCCTCTCTGCATGGGCATCCTGCCTCCGCTGGCTGAGAGCATGGCCCTGGGGTTGGGCCTGGATGGGGGTGGCCCTCACCACACTGCCCCGGTCCTGGGCCTTGGCTTCCTGCCCTCTAAGGTGGAGGTCCACATCCTATCTCCCTGGGTTGGCGGATTGCGGACACTCCGAGGGGCTGAACTCAGGAAATGGTTGTAGAGCATGGATGGCCGGCAGGAAGACTGCCCATGTGAACAGTGCCTTGGGGAAGGGGCTTCGGGGGCCCCGGAGGATGCTGGGCGAGCCCAGCCTGACACTCGCTCACCGCGCAGCCCGGCCACATACAGGAGCAGGTGCTGATGGGGAGCCGGGCGAGGCTCTGACAGCAGGTGTCTGGACCGGGTCCTTTTAAAAGTTCCATTTCGGAAAGTGAAGAGGCTTCCGCACGGGAGCAGGCCTCCGAGGCCGCGGGCTGGCTCCTCGAGGACGGGGCGCCGTCACCCCGCACACCCACACAGGACGTGTCTCTCCTCCGTGTGCCCAGACGTCGAGGTCCCAGGCGGCGTGCACTGGGCAGGCCTGACCGTCAGGCTGCGAGGCGGGGACAGAGTGGGGGCAGGAGCCGGGGCCAAGCCAGCGAGGTGCCGGGTGCTGCAGACACCCCTCCCGGCAGCGTGGAAATCCTCCCCGTTGGGGCGGGACTGGGAGCTTCCTGGCAGCAGCGGCTGGTACTCCTGCTGCCAGGCCATTTCAGGAAGAACAGAGGCTCCCCTCCCTGTGACCTGGGGCAGGTGACCGGCACGTGTAAGCCCCACGCGCTTTCCTCATCCGGGAAGTGGGTATGATCACAGCCCTCTCCTTGGAGGCTGGCCGGGGACAGTGCAGCACCCCCTGCCCGGGACCGGTCACTCCTCCGGCCTAATGCCTTCGGTGGCTGCCTTCCAGAGCTGCTAACTGGCATTTCATTCTCGCTTCCAGACAGCACATGACTGTCTGTCACTTAGCGGTTCTGTCGCCTTCCTTCCGGGAGAGGGGATGTGACCCTGGCGGGCTCCGGGTGGGGGTGGGGACTTCCTCTGCCCCGCTTCAGGGGCTGGGCAAGCAGACGGAGTGAGTGGCACAACTTGGGGGGAGACAGCCGTCGGCCTGAGACAAGAGGAAGTCTGTAGTCTGTCCCTGGAAACAACTGGTCCCTGTGAGGATGTGTCGGCTGGTTCGGCCCGGGGGCTCACGCGGTGCCCTTCCTGCAGGGCTCCCCCCCCCAGCTCAGGTCCGCCCCCAGGAGCTGAGTTCACCCCCAATCCCTAGCTCTCTCTGCTTTGAAGCCCGGACAGGGAGATGGCCCCAAATCGCCACCTCTCCCAGAGAGTCTTCCCCACGCCTTCAACGCCTTCATATCAGCACCTGAAACCCCGTGAGGGGAAGGACCCGGCTCGGAAAATCAATAAGGCAGAGTCCAGGCACCCGTGGGAGGGGCAGATGGTCACCTTTGCACTGGCCCAGTGTTTTGGGGTGGGGGTGGAGGAGAAGGACAAGGGCTCTCCCCCTGGCCCTGGCACCCCAGGACCCAGGCAGGGCGCACGGCGAGGCTGGGTGGTTTTCGGCCCTGGATCTGCCCTGTGGCCAGCGTGTCTCGTCCTTGACCGAGAACCAGGCTCACCTGGAATCGGGCCTCAGGACCCTCCTCCTGGGCTGTTTCCTGCCTGTCTGGCAGAACGGGGTTTGACCCCCGCTGCTTCCAGAAAGCTCTAGACTTCTCAGTGCCCCTGTGCCCCTAAAGGACACGTAGTTTGTACTTTCGGGCCTGGCCTAAGCCCATCCTTAAGGCAGGGCAGGCACTAATTGACACAGGACCCTGTGGGGGCTTCTGGGTGGACCCCCGATGCTAGGGGAGTCCCCACGGGCTGGCTGAGCACTTCCCTTCCTACGCTCACTGCCGGGGACGGGACGGCCACCCTCTCTGGGCGTGTGGCTGGCCAGAGTGAGGGGCTGGGGGTCGGGTTGGGCCCGAAAGTTCCTCCAGTCAGTGGCGAGGGTGCGCCGGGTCCTCCGGGTCCTGGGGGCAGTAGCTCAGCCAGGCCTGGGGGTTCGTGCCCCTTTGTCCCCTTCTAACTTCAGAGCGTTAACGCCTCCCTGCCTCCCCGCCTATCTCCGATGACAGGGTAACACAGTCATTGTCAAGAAAGTAAAAGACAGGAAGTCAGGGCCGCCTGCCCTGCGTCCGTGTCACACGGGAACCCTCTGTGCCAGCTGTCCCACGCCCAGGCTGGCCACGCTCCTGACTTGCCCTCAGGAGATGCCTAGCGGCTCCTGGTAACCTGTCTTACCGGTGCCGTCGCCGATGGGGCATGCGTCGAGGTGGTTTTGTGCTGCAGCTGACGGCCAGCCCCGACAGAGGACGTGCACACTCAGGCTGAGAGCCAGGGCCGAGAGCTGCGCTGTGGCAGGGGTGCAGGAGAGGGGACTGGCTGCCTCTCTGGGTCTCCAGGCCTGGGGCGACCAAGGGCCTGGCCCCTGGAGCTTAGCACCCTTGGTCTTGGGTGGGGCCTCCGAAGCCACCGACTGTGGTCCCACCCCGAGCCCACGGGGAACTCACCGTCTCCCGTGGCTGCGGCTCTGCTTGGCCTGAGGCCCTCGCCAAGGGGCTCGGCCGCCCGCCCGTTGGATGGACAGTCTTTCACTTTGTCCCCAGGTGATGAGAGGTCCAGCTCACACGAGGTGGCCGTCCCCTGGGCCAGCTGGGCGCGGGGCTGGAGCTGTCCCCTTGGCCTCCAGCTGGGGTCCAGCTCCGCTCTGCCTCCTGGCCTGGTGTGGCTCCAGGGCTGGGGCTCCCCTGGGGCAGGGACAGGGGTGTCCTGACCTCTTCTCTGGTCCCCTGCCCGAGCCCGCCCGCCTCCCACCTGCCTCCCCAGTAGGAAGCCCAGCCCACCTCTGCGATCCCTCCTCTCTGGCCGGTCACCGGGACAGCAGCGCCCACGTGCCTGCAGCGGGCAGGCCACTTCCTGGTTTCACTACCTGAGGATTGGGTGATGGGGTCAGGGTCCAGCCCCGAAGTGGCTCTCCAGTGTGGCCTAGAGGTGGCAGGGTGGGCTGGGAAGTCCCAGCTGAATGGTCCCTTGAGGGCCTGTGTCCTGGCCCCCTTCCCACCTATGTTGAGATGCCGGGCCAGGCGGCTTCCTGGCCAAGGTGGGGGTCTCTGCTCCCGGCCCCACACTTCCTTCCTGCCTTGAGCTGCTCCCAGAGGCCACGACAGGGCCGTGGGGGAGGCTGCCTACCGCCCAGGAAGGTCTGGCCCTGTCCCCTCATGGGGGGTGGAGAGTGGCCTGTGGGGACCCGGAACCCATGCCCAGCCTGCGCGGTGGCACCAGGAGCCCCCTTCCCCTACTCACCCTGTGTAGCCCATCCTGAAAGTGTCTTTTTTTAAGTCTATTTATTTATTTGGTGGGGGGACAGAGGGAAAGAGAGAGAGAGACTCTCCCGAGCAGGCTCCACGCTCAGCACAAGCCCCGCACGGGCCGTGGCCTCCTGCACCGAGAGAGAGCCTGACCGGAGCCGATATCAAGAGTTGGACGCCCCACCGACTGAGCCCCCAGGCGCCCCTGAAAGTGTCTTGCTGTGCGCCTCTTCCTCTGACCTAACCTGGTGGCCCTGACGGCATTTCTGGCCTTACTTCCTGCCCCTGGCCTTCGCTTCCCTCCTGGGGGTCCCCGGGTGGGTGCCTGGCCAAGCTGGGAGGGGGGGGCTTCCCCGTGCCTTTTCCCATGAGCCTGTGCCCCGCCTCCGGAGGCGGCGGGTCGGGGAGCAGAGCTGGCGCAGAGCCCAGCCCCCTCCCTCTCGGTGAGGCTGGCACCCAGGCCCCGGGCAAGACCAGCGCCGCCCAGAGGGTGTGAGTGACGCACCAGGCGTCCTTGCTGCCCAGGGCGCGCGTGGGTGGGACAGGGCGACCGCTCAGCCGTGGGGCCGGGGTGTGGCTGCCCCAGGCCTGCCCGGGCAGCGCCCGCTCCCCCTTGCTCCCTTGCAGCCACTTCTTGGAAACGGCCGGCCGGGCAGGATCCCAGTGCACTTGGCCGTCCCCTCCTGTTTCAGCTGAGGCTGGTATTTATTAATTCTCAGAAGGGAAAAAGAAACAGAAACTAAACCTTTCACAGGGTCCTGAAGGGGCCAGGCTGTGCTGTCTCTGCTGGGGGACCCGCCCCTGTGACCAAGCTGGTGGGGGGCAGGGGCCTGTGGGGACAGGGGTGGGAGGCAGGGGCCTGTGGGGGGGCAGGGGCCTGTGGGGAGGGGCTAGTGGGGGGCAGGGGTGGGGGGCAGGGCCAGGGGCAGGTGAGAGGGTCCTGTGGCTGCGTGTGCAGGTCCCGTTGGGTGGGAATGATCAAGCTCTACCGGGAGGTAGAGCCGGGAATGAGGCTCTACCGCCGATACACCTGCCGCGGGGGCCACACCTGCGCTTGTCGTGAGCCACCTGTGTACCGTGGCGTGACGCTAAGTGCTCTGTGGACGTTAGCTTCCGTGCCCTCCCATTCCCGTCTTACGAGTGAGGGTGTGGAGGCCGTCGCGGAGGTGAGCCTGAGGTGAGCGCGGGGCACCCCCGCGGCCCTCTCTGGGCCCTGCCCACTGCCCTCATTCCTGCTGTCCCTTAACGCTGGGTGCCCGGGCCTCACAGGCATCCCGTCCCTTCCCTGACCCCAAGACCTTGTTCTGTGGGCAGGACTTCAGCACCGCATCTCCAGGTGCTTGCCACGGGCCACGGGGAGCCCGGCGAGCCCAGAGTGTCGGGCTCCTCACCTTGGGGCCCGGGTGGGACCCACAAGAAACGTTTGCCCCCAGAGGCCTTAGAAGTTCCGTGGCCAGGGGCCGACTGGGCAGCGGGGGTGAACACAGCTCTGTCGGACACAGAGCGCCCTGCACGTGTGGGAGGCGCGCACCGTGCTAAGAGCTGACGCAGGTGGGCACCTCGGGGCTGTCACCGCGTCCAGATAACAGACACGTCCCTCAGCCCCAGCAGCATCCGGGGGCCTTGTGGCCCCTCCCCCACCCCAGGGTGGCCTGTTTTCTGTCGCTGCACATGGTTTGCATCTCGTACACTTTATTTAGAGAGCGCTGCTTTCCATTTGGTCTGGTTCTCCAGCCTGCGGGCTGTTGTGCGAGGGGCACACTTCCTGCTGCGGTGGCTCCGCTGTGTGTCCGGACCAGTTTGTTTCCGTGCAAACTGTCACTTCTTCAGTTGAAGGACAGGTCTGGGCCTGGGAACCGCGGGGCCCACGTCATGGTGGGGACACTCTCATTGACGTCCCTGGGTGGACACCTGGGGCCACAGGGCTGGCCACGTGGTGGGTGCACGCTGGGCTGGGTGGAGAACTGCCTTTTTCCTGCCAGTGCGTCCACAGGGGGGCTAGGCGGGGGCGGGGCAGGAGGCTTCCCTTCCCTGTAGAGGGCTTTCCGGCCCCCCAGCCCCTGGTCCGGGTGAGGCGACCCGAGGTGAGCATCTGCCCCCCCACTGCCTGTGCCGCCTCATCTGGGCGCTGGGGATGGCCCTCGCCACAGCATTCACCTGCCCCCCCCCCCCCCCCCCCCCCCGCGTCTTTGCAGGGCTTGGAGTGACGGGTCAGCACCAGGCCCTCCTCGGCCCTGTGGGCAGGACCAGCTTCCGTGGGCCTGGAGGCCGCGAGGCCGCAGAGCCAGCCACTGCCCGCGGTCCCGCCTGCATGTCTCGGGCGCAGGTGTGGCATTTCTGTTAGGCCCGTGTGCTCCAAGGCAGGCTTGTCTCCCCAGCCCCTGGGGGAGCACCACACTCCACTCCCCGCGCCCTCCCCCCCCACCGCTGATGGGGACACTGAAGCCAAGGTGCGGCTTGTGGCCAGACCTCTGACTATAGAGGGACCACAGAGGGAGGCCCAGGACTGGGGTTTCCCCCGCCCCTCCCCCCTGCCCTCTCACAAAGCGGGCTCCGGACCACAGCTTCTAAACAGAACAAGTGATGGTTTCCAGCCAGGGTTACCACGGCAACCCTCAGCCCCGACCCGCCTCCCTTGGAGCCGCAGATGGCAACCACCTCGGGAGGAGCCAAGGCCCCGGGGGCGCCCGCCCTGCCGCCCCCCCAGGCCGTCCCATGGGCCCTCTGGACCCCTCGAGGCTATGACAGGTGCCACAGAGAGGCCCAGGATGCTGGGGCCGGGGCCCTGTCCTCTGAGCGCTGCGCAGTGGCCGGAGCGCGAGCAGGTGCACAGGAAGCCGCTGGTGCTCCCCACGCTTGCTGGAGGATGGAGAAGAGGTCGGCGCCTCCACCTGCCCCTCCCCGACCAGAGCTGGGCCTCAGCCCAGAAGTGGGCCGAGAAAACGAAATCGAGGCCGGGGCAGGGGGAGGGGGCGACAGGGTGCTCCGAGGGACGTGTCGGGCAGCCTCGCCCGCCGCTGATGGGCGCCGCGGTCCCACCGGCCTTACCGTTAGCTGGGCCGAGTGTAGATGGAGCTGCTGGGACTTTCCGTGGGGCAGCGCCCGGGGCTGGGGCTCCGGGTCATGCCCTCCACAGAGCACGTTTACCCCAACCACCGTCTCAGAGGGTCTGCCCCCACCTCCGGCCAGGGCCCCGGGGCAGGCGCTGGGCTGGTCAGGGGGTTTCCTTGGGGTCTGGTTTTCAGTTTCTCTTTCCCCCAGGACACGCAGCTCTGGGTCTGTGCGTGAGGGGCAGGGTCTGGTGCTGTGGGGAAGACCCCGGCTGTCGGCACATGATCGGTGGGATGAGGAAGAGCCGGACGCTAGCGGCTGCAGAGGCCTCCCCACTGGAGCCCAGGCTCGTAGCTCGGGGAGCACATGCCCTCTCCTGGGGCACGCAGGGCTGGGACGGCCCAGGGAAGGGCTGGGGCGCGGAGGGCAGCCTGGCCACTGGCCTGGGGATGGTCGGGTGCTCGTGTGAGGCTGGGCCGGCACCGTCCGGGCTCATCCTTGGGGGGCCCGCCCCACCCTCCACGCATGGCTCTGTGCTCGCAGGACGGTGAGTGGGCCCCCAGGGCTTCCCTGGGCGGGGGGCTCCCTTCCTGCCCTAGAAGCTCAGGCAGCTCCCCGCCCCGCCCCCTCCACCGGCCTATCTGAATCTGAGAGGACCGAGGGCTTCCTTCCTCCTCTAGCAGCTTCCCTTCCCAGGCCGGCAGCGGCAAGGATTTCTCCCACAAACGGCCCGGTCCCTCGGCCTTGTGGCTTCCTGGATGCCACTGGCCTCAGCTGCCTCCCTTTTCTGTCATTCCTTCCACTGGTCACACCAGGACCCTGGGGGCATCAGACCCATCCCTCTCTTCCTCTTGGCAGCAAAGACCTGGGGTCCCCAGATAAGCTGAGGACCGTTGGAGCCACCACCCCCTTGGAGGAGGGCCCCGCGGTCCCTGGGGTGCTCCGGTCTGGTGTGGACTCTGGCCAGATTCAGCAAATAAAAATACAGGACATCCAGTTAGGTTTGAGCTTCAGATAAAAAAATGAATACTTTTTTGACACGAGCGTGCCCGGTATGCTGTCGGGGAGCTGGTCCCCAGTACCCAGGCCTTCCTGGGACACCTCAGATACCGGGTCAGCGAAGCAGACATGCAGAGGCAGCAGGCAGCCCAGACCCCCGCAGTGCTTGTGAGCGCCCGCCCTCCGACCGCTGGCCCTGCGGAGGTGGGCGCCTGGCACTGCAGCCCCCTGGATGTCCAGTGCGATATGGTTCACACTCACCCCTGCACTGCCCTGGGCCCCTAACCCTGTACCCTTCTTTCCCCAGTTGGCCGGAGGCGTGATCCTGGGTGTGGCCCTGTGGCTCCGCCATGACCCACAGACCACCAACCTTCTCTATCTGGAGCTCGGAGACAGGCCTGCGCCCAACACCTTCTACGTAGGTGAGTGCACTCAGGCCAGGGGCAGGGCCTGGCTGGCTCCAGGCTGGGGGGCTGGCAGGGGACCCAGCAAGGCCTCCCATCATGACTGCTGCAGACAGACAGTCAGAGTGGGCTTCCAGGAGGAGGAGGAGGAGGCCGGGGCCAGCTTCGGGGGACTTGCTGAGAGCTGGGCTGATGGGCAGAAGGGGGCTGGCCAGGAAGGACTTTCTGGGCCTGAGAGTGAGCTGGAAACAGAAAGTACGTGGGGTCGCCTCAGCCTGGGGGGCGCCTGGGTTCCGAGGTGCTCCAGTCCCTGGGAGCTTGGGGCAGGAGCCAGGCTCCGGGAAAAGCTGGAACTTCAGGGGGTTGTTGGGACCCCACCGGATGGCCCCCAGGGGCTGAATCGGGGCAGGAGGCAGCTGGGTGGGGGTGGGGAGCTGTGTCTCTGGGGTGTTTTGGGGGAGGCTCCCTGGGAAGGGGTGGGGCCGGATGCCGGGGCAGAAGAATGGCAGCTGGGGCCCAGAGGAGCGGGAGGAGGACTCCGGCCCCAGGGTGGGGCCAGTGCGACCCCGGGCCGCCCCCAGCCACACTTTGCTGCCTTATTAGACCTCACCTCTGCAGGGGCACCAGCCGTGCCCCCTGGGGTGTCGTCCCTGAGGGATCGGCCCCGCCCCCGCCCCGCCCTGCAGAGTTACACTCCTTAGGTTGGTCCTCAGCCAGTGGGAGGCGGGGCCTGGCCCTCCTGGGGCTCTGGAAGCCTGTGTGGAGAGGTTTCTGTCCTTTAAAGGAACGGCCGGGCCTGGTCCTAGCCTCCAGGCAGGAAGTGTGTGTGGGGGGCCTTAGGGACTGGTGTCCTGGGTGCAGCCGGAAAGGGTCTGGGTCTCTCCCACGCGCCAGGGATACATGCTTGGTTGCTGAGGCTTGGATGGCCCAGGGCACCCGGGGTGACAGAGGGGATGTATACCCCTTCCCGAGTGGCCGGGAGAGCAGCCGGGCTGAGCGGACGGGTGGAGGGGCATCATACGGCGACCCCTTTGCTCCTGGGAGACAGGAGCCCGTGACCCTGGCATTGGTTTTCCTGCCCAGTTGTGCCTGGGGGGGGGGGTTGGGTGGGGTTCCTGATGGTCCATCTCCAGATTCCTAGGCTTCCCCCGGGCTGTGCAGCCCCCCCAGGTCCGAGTGTCAGGGGGACAGGGCGCCTCTGCCCACCAGCTCCAAGGGTGCACGTGAGAACCGTGACCCAGGGTCTGCCGCACGCGGTCCAGGCGCCCTCAAAAGCAAAGCAGCCGGCTTTGCCCCCAGTCCAACGGCAAGGAAGTATCCTCCAGACTCGCGGGAGCGGTTTCTCTGTTTCGCGGCTCCTGCCTCCCAGGCCTCTCCCTCCCCTCCCGCAGAGGTCCCAGCGTGGTCTGGGTCTGGGTGGCGGGCGTGTGGGCAGGGGACTTGGGAAGCCATCCCCCTCCTGAAGGAAGCCTCAGGGCGCTCCGCTCTCAGGCCCTGCATCTGGCCCAGCTTGGCAAAGCGGCTGAAGGCTCCCTCCTTCCAGGCCCGGCCGGGGCAGGGGAGGGGCCGGGAAGCGGGAGGCTCTGGCACCCTTCAGGAGGTGGCGGCTGTGGGACTGTGCCGGGCTCGGTGGGGAGGTGGTCCCGTGGGAGAAGCTCGTAGGGGGCGAAGTGGGCATTGTCCCAGCAGCCCGCTCCTTCACATCAGCTGTCACCCGGGGCCTGACCCTGGCTTGCAGAGAGGCCTCTGGCGCGGTGCTCCTGGCCCTGGGGATGCCTGCCCTCAGGGGTAGCTCTAGCCTAGCGACCTGGGCTCTGTGGTGCCCCCGCACTCGCCCACTCTGTGGGCTGCCCGTCCCTGCCCATCAAGGACCAGCCTTCTGGAGCCTCCCACTGGCCCTGATGTGGGCTGGGCCTGCCAGGGAGGTGGGGGAGCAGATGTGGGCCCTGACAAGGGCTCTTTGTGCAACGCTGGCAAGGGGGGAGGTCAGCTGGGCTTGCTCAGCGCGCTGGGCAACGCCGTGGGGCCCAGCCGGGCCCCCACCTCACGCCAGAACCGGGCCTCGGGTTCCAGAGGAGGTGGCGCCTGGACGGGCCGCGGGTCAGACACCTGCTGCCGTTCGCCAGACCTCACGCAGTGACCCAGGATGGGAACTCAGGGGTCCCACGTGGCCTTGAGGATGGGGGTATCAGGCCTGAGGGAAGGGGGACCCAGCCTGAGGGTGCCCTCCCCGCCAAGCCGGGAGCCCCCTAAGGCAGCCAGAGCGGGAGGCTTCTCTTCTGCCACGCCCACCGAGTGCTGCCCAGAGGCTTTGACCAGGAGGCGGCCCTGGGCCTTTTCTGAGCCCAGTGGGTGGTCCTGTGGACCCCAGACTCCTTCTCCCCCTCCCCCCCACCCCGGGCTGGCCAGACAGTGGAGTTCTGGGGGTCTTGGCTCTGCAGACAGGGCCCGGGCTGCCCACGTGTTGGCTGTGGTGGCTGGGGCCCGGGGCCCAGGCCCAGGTCTGCGAGAAGGCTACGGCCGGCACTTCCTAAGGGGCTCAGGGCCCTGTCCGGGTGGGTCACGGGCACCCAGAAAGGCAGCATGGCCGGGCCAGAGGTGTCCCCAACCCTGTGGCGGCCCCTCCTGCCTCCCCAGGAGCACGAGCCCAGACCGGTGGGCGGCCCCGGTGTCCTGTCCTAGAAATGTCCCTGCCACCACATGCCATGCTCAGAGGGGTGGGCCGCCACGGCTGCCAGGCCACCTTGTCCAGCGGGCTCAGAGGCAGATCCGAGCCCACCCCTCCCGCCCAAGGAGCCGCAGGAGCCTCCGGGTCTGACCTCTGTCCAGGAGCAGCGGGCACGCCCTGCTGCGGGCAGTGGGGCGCCTGCAGCGGCCCCCTCTCCCCACCCCTCAGGGCCCTGGGCTCCCCCCTCCCCAAGTCCCAGAAGCTTAGGAGGAACCAGAGTGGGTGCAGGTTGTACGAGGGCCTCGCTGCGAGGGGCCCGCGGGTACAGATGGGATGTGCCCTCTGCGCACTGCGCCTGCGCCAGGCGGTGCCAGCCTGGGCTTCACCAGCCTGGCTCCCAGGCTGCAGACGAGGAGGCCTGTGGCCGGCCGGGCTGCAGGGCCCTCTCCGCTCCTCCCCAGGGCATTGGGAGTCCTTTGTCTTCCCGGCAGGGGGCCCGAGGCCCTGCAGGGGCTGCGCTGTGCGCACGCTGCCGGGGAGGTGGCGCACTGAGGGTGTCTGTTGCTCTCCCACAAAGGCATCTACATCCTCATTGCCGTGGGCGCCGTGATGATGTTCGTCGGGTTTCTGGGCTGCTACGGGGCCATCCAGGAGTCCCAGTGCCTGCTGGGCACGGTAAGCCTGGGCGGGGTGGGGCTCGGATCTGCTGGACACAGCACCTGTCACCTCCCACGGGACCCTCTTGCCCCCCTGGAGGCGGGCTCTCCCGGGGGCCCAGGGGCCTCTCCCCCTGGTTTCCCTGTTTGGTCCTGGAGTCTGGCCACGCCTGGTTCCTGACTCTCAGTTCCACAGTTGCTTTTCTCTTTGTTTAAAAAAATATTTATTTATTTAGTTTTTAGACACACACACACACACACACGCAGTGTGAGCGGGGGAGGGGCAGAGAGAGAGGGAGACAGAACCTGAAGCAGCTCCAGGCTCCGAGCTGTCAGCACAGAGCCTGACGCGGGGCTTGAACCCACAAACCGTGAGATCATGACCTGAGCTAAAGTTGGACGCTTAACCGACTGAGCCACCCGGGCGCCCTTCTTTGTTTTTAAAGAAAAGCCACAGAAACAACAGGGAGTGGGACCCCCGCCCACGGCCAGCCTCGGTTGGAAAGCTGAGGCCAGCCCAACCCGGAAGGCGTGGGCAGTGGGCACTGTAGCACGATCACCCCCTTCCCGTGGGGAGAGGGAGAAGCAGGGTGCACAGGGGGCCACGGGGGGCCCAGACCCTCTCGGGGCTATGCCAGCCTGCAGTCCCAGCCCTCTGAGCCCCTCCCGCGGCCCCATCATGCAGAGCCCACCCTGCGGGGATGATGATAGGCTCCGCACACGCTTCTCGACTCCACGCAGCACCTCCCTGGTCGGGACGCGGCCGGGTGCCACCGAACACCCACACACACACCCGTGCGTCACTCGGGTGCCTGTCATCTGTGGTCAGTGAGCCTCAAGCTGCCCCGTGCCTGCTCTAATACCCCGTTTCTCTGCCCTCCTCTGGGTCCTCTGCTCCGTTCCCAGTTCTTCACCTGCCTGGTCATCCTCTTTGCCTGTGAAGTAGCTGCTGGCATCTGGGGTTTTGTCAACAAAGACCAGGTGAGCCTGGGGCCCTGGGGGTGGGGCCTGGCCACCTGGACAGGAGGAGGCAGCCCCCTGCTGCTCACTCAGCGGGTGGGCCTGCCCTTGGATCGCAGGTGCTGCTGGGGGCTCCCCCTGGGGCCTGTCTGATGAAAGGCCCTGGAGGGCTTTCTGGAGGAGGTGCCCTGGGGGCCAAGTAGAAGGCAGGTTCCCCTGTCTCCCAGCCTCCAGGGTGGAGGTGGGGGAGGCATCCAGGTCTGTCCTGGAAGCAGTATCTTCCCAGGAGAGCCAGTGAATACTTGAGGGCCCCTCAACCCCACTGGGGGGTGGTCCCTGCTGTGGGTGTGACCTTACCCCTCCCACACACCCCTCCCCCAGATCGCCAAGGACGTGAAGCAGTTCTACGACCAGGCTTTGCAGCAGGCCGTGGTAGACGACGATGCCAACAATGCCAAGGCCGTGGTGAAGACCTTCCATGAGACGGTGCGGCAGCGGGTCCTGGGGGTCTGGGGGTTCGGGGTGGGGCTGGGGGATTGGGGCGTTGTGCTGTTGGGTGAGGCCCAGCTGGGGTTGAGTGTGGCCCCAGCGCAGACCTCAGCAACAGGAGGGGCTTGGGGGCCCTGGCAGCCCTGCCCCTTGAGGGCAGTGGAGCCCCTCCAGAGGGGATTCTCTGGGACTTGTGGATTCCCAGTGTGAACCAGATGAACCTTAGGCCCGGCTGCAGGGCTTTCTGGGCAGCACCGCTGAGTGGGAGGAAGGAAGGAGAGGGGCCCCTGGGCTCAGTGCTCTTCCCCGGGAGCATCCACGCCCCCCCCCCC